TGCGATATGCAGGTGTGAGTTACGCTCGACTTCCTGGTCGAGGAAAGGATCTCGCCGGGTGTGGCGGACGAGGAACCGACCTTACCAAAGTACCGGGTGCCGGGTGCGGTGGACGAGGAGCCGACCTTGCTGGGTACGATGGACGAGGAACCGACCTTGCCGGGTACGATGGACGAGGAACCGACCTTGCTGGGTACGATGGACGAGGAACCGACCTTGCTGGGTACGATGGACGAGGAACCGACCTTGCTGGGTACGATGGACGAGGAACCGACCTTGCCGGGTACGATGGACGAGGAACCGACCTTGCCGGGTACGATGGACGAGGAACCGACCTTGCCGGGTACGATGGACGAGGAACCGACCTTGCTGGGTACGATGGACGAGGAACCGACCTTGCCGGGTACGATGGACGAGGAACCGACCTTACCAAAGTACCGGGTGCCGGGTGCGGTGGACGAGGAGCCGACCTTACTGGGTACGATGGACGAGAAACCGACCTTACCTGGTGCGGTGGACGAGGGACGGACCTCGTCGGGTGCCGTGAACGAGGTACAGGCGACAGTCGTGCGCCAAACTGTCCCCGTGTCACGCTCTGCAGGCGGCCCGGGAGGCACCGCTGCGGCTCGGCGCTCTCTCGTCGTCCGGCCGATGGGGGTGAAAGCGGCGCTCTGGCGGCAAGAACGCCGCGCCCCGCTGCCCCTGACGACAATCAGCCTGTCACGGTTGGCGGCTGGACAACAACAGCACGGGCTCCGCATAGCCCCGCGTGGCACCTCCCAATAGAGTGTGTGGGGGGGGGGGAGGGGGCCACGACACGAGCCTCACGCTAGCCCATCGTGTCAGCCACGGCAGGCAGCCGGAAGGTAGCCGCCAGAGCTCCACGTGACCGTACTCTGCCGGTTACGGGGTCTGGCCGAGTGTCAGCCCCCACGCGACCCTCTCGTCCCCCGTGACCGTAGCGTGTAGGTGATTTAGCGAGGTCAAGCGACAGGGGATCAATAGTGCAGCGACCGTGGCTATCTGCAGGCTGATATGCCAGCCACGATGGCAGTGGGCTTCAAACGCGTTGCGTAGAAGTTGATCCCTTTGTCTTCGCACAGCCCCTAGTAAAGTAACCAGCTATGTATGAGGCGGTGCCAACGGAGTGGTTGGTGTGGCTGGCATGCTTTTTACTTTACACTACTTCATTCACCAGAAACCGCTCACGGACGGAAAATGCTAAATCGCTGTGCTAAAACTGCTCAAAAATCCTCTCATGAAGGTCT